ATGGGCATCTTGAAAGTTTACAAACTTCTAGATGGACCTGGTTATTAGCAGTGGGATAGAACTCATGGAAATTCATTGTAGAAATACAGATTCATTTGTAGTTTTTGGCCGTTAAGGTTTTCCTGTTGGCAGTCTTCTAAAAAGTGCTAAGTGCAAATATATATATATATATACTGCATATAGAAATCCAAAGGAGCGGACATGAAACGATCATGGAGTGTGTGAAACTGTCATATCGCCACATTGTATGCCGAGTCCTTTAATCCTTGGGAAGTGCTACAATGTTTCATTTGGACTTCTACGTACTTGACATGGAAGAGTGTGACGTCCTCCTGATGCTTTCTGCAAGGAGATGTGCTGCTTCAGCCGGTGACTTTGTATATCCAGAGTATATATATATGTTATAAAATGTTACAAATAAAGCTCTCCATCCCGGAACATCACTGAACCTGTGAAAACGTTGCGCCCAGCTGGTAATCTAACAACCTATATGGCGGAAAAACAGTTTCTATTCCACATAATAGGATTGAGAAGACTCATCTGAGCTCCGATCTTGCTAGAATTGTCAGTGGCAGGCCTCAATGCTGAGCCTATTTTCTAGGTTTAGAGACTTCAGGACATCAATAGGATTAAGCGACATGGATTCCTCTTATCTGGGACGGGTTTACATTGACCGTGTATTGTGCACAGGGAGTGATTAATGGATAACTATGGGGTTAAGTCTTTTCCCCATAGTTCTCCTTAGGGTAACGGGAGGACACAAACTAGCGTCCTCCCGTCACCCTAAGCTCAGTATATAGGGAGCTACAGCTCGCGGTATACTGAGACGCCGCAGCTGAAGCGGATCCCGACAAATATGTCTGGATCCGCCCAGCTGCGTGAGTGACAGCTGGCTCTGCCTATCTAGAGGCAGAGCCAGCTGTACCCGCCCCTCCCCCGTCCGTTCTGCCAGTCAGCGCTGGAGGATCGGAGCGGGGAATCCAGCCCCTCCCCTGTCACGGCAGAGAGCCGTGACAGGATCGAGAGGTGAGCGAACGCTGGTATGTGTTCGCTCACCTCCCGATCTACTGAGCCGACCTGTGACAGTCTCATTGTCACAGGTCGGCTAGAACTATGAGGTGAGTGAAAAGCACGCACCTCATAGTTCAACCTTTAAAGCTGGCACTAGGCGGCCAGGTGTCTCCCCGACCTCCGAGGGGACATCTGCTTGTTGATGGTAGCGCCTGGACCTGCTGCTGCTTCTTCCACCATTCATGTTATGGCTGAAGTGGCACATGCGTGGTTAATACTTCTCTTCCATTGTCTTATGGAAAAGAGGATTGTGTCGCATTTCCCAACAAATGTAAAAACCACCAAAAGAGATAACAAATACTTTCCATAGCCGAAGGCGTTCATTATTGGCTAGTCCTAACCTGCTCCATCTTTGCCCAAGTAGCATGTTGGGCATCACATTGGGTCATTTGTGGTAAAGGATATACATACTTAAAGGAGAACTATGAGGGGGGGGGGGGGATTTTCACTCCTCCTCATAGTTCGAGCCGACCTGTGACAATGAGACTGTCACAGGTCGGCTCTATAGATCGTGAAGTGAGCGAACACATACCGGCGCTCGCTCACTTCCCGGTCATCTCCCTGCAGAGAGCAGGGATACCCCCCTCCCCGTTCCGATCCTTCAGCGCTGATGGGGGAGGGGGCGGGCACAGCTGGCTCTGCTTCTAGATAGGCAGAGCCAGCTGTCACTCACGAAGATGGGTGGATCTCGACAGCATTGTCTGGATCTGTCCCGGCTGCTGCGCTCTGAATATATAGCTCGCAATAGCTCGCTATACACTGAGCTTTGGGTGATGGGAGGACGCTAGTATATGTCCTCCTGTGACCCTTAAGAGAACTATGGGATAAAAAGGTTACCCCATAGTTCTCTTTTAAAGAGCAACAAAAAGCAACAAAAGTCAAGGGGCAGGTTAAAAAATCTACCCACCGCCCCGGTACTTACCTCCTCCAATGGCAGCAGTGTTCCCCATTGTTTACATCCCACCTGGTACAAGAAAGTAACTGGTCTTGCCTAGCGATGTCGCCGAGATTACATGTAAACAGTGTGCAGCCTCCCCCCCTCCCCCCCCCCTGCACTTACCTCTCTCCTCTGGTTCCGTCCTCCGCCGCCGAGTCTCTCCTCACTGCAGGGAGCAGAGCGGCAGAGGTTAAAACTAACCCGGCCACTCCGTGTAGACAGTGAGAGGGCAGAGCCGCGCTAGAACTCCTGTATTGGAGGTGACGGGGTCAATAAAGAGAACCTGTCACCTCCAATTGCTATCACACAGGGGATTGTTTTCTCCTGTGTGATAGCAATAAAGTTAGGTGAAAATTTTTTTTTATTGATTTAAAAAAAATGAAATAAATAAAAATGAAATAAATATTTTTTTTTTAAATGAAATAAAAAAATTAAAAGGTGATTAAAAAGTAAAAAAAATAAGAAGAAATAATTAAATAAAAAAGTTAAATA